CACACTTACTAACTGTGGGACTGTAGGCAAAGCACTTAACCTGGCTGCCTCAGCTTCCTCAACTGTAAAATGGGGCTGATAATAGCACCTACCTCCCAAGGTTATTGTGAGGGTTAAAAGAGATATTTATAAAGCACTTAGCACAGTGCCCAGAATGTAGTGAGTACTTAATAAATGTTCATTCCCTCTTTTCCTTCCTGTTATCCCTCACTCTAGGGTAGCTAGGTGGTGTGGTGGATAGAGTGCTGGGTCTGTTGTGAGGAAGACCTGAGTTCAAATCCAGCCTCAGATACTTATTAGCTATGTGACCCTGGGCAAGTCACTTAACCCTGTTTGCTTCAATTTCCTCTTCTGTAAAATGAACTGCAGAAGGAAATGGCAAACAACTCCAGTATCTTCGCCAAGAATATTCCAAATGGGTTATGAATACAACTGAACAACATTATTTTAGGATATCTTCTCCAATGCTAAAATCTACTAGATTATCGAACAGTTTCCCCAAAAGAATCTAGAGGAAACTGAGTCATTAAATTCAACTAAACTAATTCAACATAATAACACAGCAGGTAGAGCTATCTGGTTAGTCAGTCATTAGCATCCATGTGCCAAGAACTGTGCTAAGCACCGTGGATACAAAGAACAATAAAAGATAGTCCTTGCCCTCTAGTAGCTAACAATCCCACCACCACCTAGAACAGAAATAAAATATTTTTCATATCTAGTTTCCCATTATGACTTCCCATTATACAAAAAGATATCAGAGTGGGAAGAAAGAAAAGGGGAAGATTGGTAGCTTTATTCCTAAGAAGAGTACTACAGATCCTTAAGGTTAGAAAGGGCAGCTTCTCCTTTTCCCAGTTAAAAACAGGCCCCAGATTCTAACTTCTACCATACAAACTGCCCCATGGTGATTATTTTCTATTGTTACTGGTGTTTTGTAAAAATTACACACAAAAATAAATTTTCTGTAGGGAAGGTAAGTGTCATGAATTATAAATTATATCTTTATAAAAAAACTCACCCCAAATAAAGAAAGAGGAAAAGAACCCATTTGCACAAAAATATAGCAGTTCTTTGTGTCATCAAAGAAACTAAGAAGTGCCCATCAACTAGGGAATGACTGAACAAGTATAATGAAATACTGTTATCCTCTTATGAAATGACAGAAGGGGCAGTTTCAGAGAAACCTGGAAAGACTTGTATAAACTGACACAATGAAGTGAGTAGAACCAGTAGAACAATTTATCCTATAACAACACAGTAAAGGCAAACAACTTTGAAAGACTTTAGAACTCTAAGGTAATGACCCACTGTAATTACAGGGGACCAATGATAAAGCATGTTAACTCACCTCCTGGCAGATAGTGATATACTCAGGATGCAGAATGAGCCATATTTTTGGACATGGTCAATGTGGAAATTTGTTTTGAGTACCTATGCACATTTCTTTTGTTTATTTTTGTTTTCTTGCTAGACAATGGGGTTAAGTGACTTGCCCAGGGTCACAGAGCTACTAAGTGTCAAGTGTCTGAGGTCAAATTTGAACTCAGGTCCTGTGCTCTATCCACTACAACATCTAGCTGCCCTACACATTTCTTATAAGGATTTTGCTTTTTTTTTTTTCAATAGAGGGAGGTGAAAGAGAAAATAAATACAAATTAAAAATAAACTCTAAAAAAATAAAAAGAACTCAAGGATAAGAGGAAGAGTACAGTGGTTCTTTTAAGATGGAATCTATGTCACTCCTTTTATTCATCATTTTTTTCTCATATTAAAAGTTCCAAAGATATTTTCTAAAATGTTCTAACTTGTCCTTCTTTGAGGTTCATTCAATCCAAATTAAGATTCTGGTAATTACAACCTATCTGCCCCCACATCATCCTCCCTTCCTTCCTCAGTGAGTTTAGTGCCTGGCTCAATCTTTCTTTCTATCCCATCCCAACTCTTGTCCTCATACAGGAGGAGATTTTATATACGTGTTTGTATACGTACATACACACACACACACACACACACACACACACACAGAAACTGGGGAGAGGGCTTTGAGGGAGTATCCCAGTTCCTCAGTCTACTTAATTTCCATGACCTGTTCCTCCATTCTTTCTCAGCTACAGAGACGAGCATATCCCTGATCCTGTCATCACCCACAGGTGGAAACACCACCACTGGAGATAGAGTGAACCTAGTCCGCACAGGAATGACTTCCTCCAGTACCATTCAGCAGCATGGGAGTAAAAGCAGACAGGGTGATGGTGGGAATCATCCAGGTTTGGGGTTTGGAAAGGGATGGCCAACAATTAGATAAAAGGGGCAAAGCATTCAGTGGTAAAAAGACAGCTCAAGTGGAACTGTTTTTATAAGGTCAAGATTTTGAAGGGAGGAAAAATGAGTGATTTATGTAGTTCTGTCCCTTTAGAATTTAAAAAAAAAAAGACCCTAAAGGACTTATGATGAAAAATGCTATACATCCCCATACAAACAACTGATGGTGTCTGAATGCAAATTGAAGCATACTTTTTTTTTTAGTTTGGGTTTTTTTGGGTCTATTTTCTTTCACAATGTGACTATTATGGACATGTTTTGCATGACTGCACATGTATAACCTATATCTAATTGTTTGTCTTCCCAATGAGAGGGGTAGGAGAGAATTTGGAACTCAGTTTTAAAAATGAATGTTAAAAATTATTTTTACATATAACTATGAAAAAATGAAATACTAAATAAAAAAGAAATTTTAAAAATACCCAAAATATGTATTTCTAGCAGTGAAGGAAAGAAGTAAAAGATAATATGAGAAATTCAGCTAAAATTATAAACATTTTAAGTGCCCCAGGCCCTGCTTGTCAAGGTTAAGGGGGAGAGAAGAGAAGAATCTAGAAAGTTAAAGACTCCAAGAGAATAGTGGCTGTTGAAAAGCTAATCAGCTTTTGTGTGTGGTATGAAGCAAGGATTATTGTCTTGTTTTGTTTATTGCACCATTTTCACTCCCAAGCTCATAAAAAAACCACTGAGAATCTCTAACAGAATTAAGTCAGCCAAACAGTACAATAAAAGATCATAAAATCATAGATCTAGAGTTGGGACATCTAAGATCATTTAGTCCAACCTCCTCGGGTTGGGTTAGGTTTGACATGAAAACACTAAGACCCAGAGAGATGATTAAGTAACTTGCCCTGTATGACTACACAGGTAATAAATAACTCAGACAGGATTTGAACTCTGATTCCAAATCTAGAGCTCTTTCCACTAAATCATGAAAAGAAGACTGTTGGAAAATGCACAATCTATAGGTAGAGACATATATAATGAAACATGGCATTCATCCATTTAACAAATATTTATTGATTCCCTACTATTTACTAGATAGAAAGAGATATTACTCAACACTTATTAAGCACCTACTGTGTGCCAGGCACTGTGATAAGAGCTGGGGATACAAAAAGAGGCAAAAGACAGCCTTATCCTCAAAGAGCTTACAAAAAAAACACATGGGTTGTTGCCACCTTCTAGAGAAGAGGTCAGGAAACTATGGCCTAGTCCACAGCCTGATTTTGTACTACCTCTTTAGGATGAGAATGATTTTTTACATTTTAAAATAAAGTGTTACTATATTTAAAAATGTAAAAATCATTCTTAGTGGTGCAAAAAAGGCCTGCTGGCTGGCCGGCTGTAGTTTGCAGACCCCTACAATGTTCAAAAGTCCAAAGCTTTACTTCAAGTGCAATCTTAAAAATGGGTAGGCAAGTATAGTGACCTTTCCATAGGGAATGCTTCACTAAAAAGATGGGACTTGAGCGGATTCCCAAGGGCTGTTAGATTTGAACTGGGGGCACCTCTGTGTGGACATTCTGACATTCCAATTTTTTTGTTTTTTATTGAGGTTAGGGGGACTAGAGAACAACACAATCAAACATCTCTCGTTTCCTTGGATCAAGCCTATCTGAATGTTATTTTGAACTGGTTTTCAGTTTCTACAAATCAAACCTGTACCCCAAGAGTCTCCACTATTTCAAAGATGTTCTAGCAATAATGATTCTTGATATTGTCATCCTATGCTTTCCTGTTTACTTCTTTCCCTCTCTTTAAGCAAATACTTAAACATATCAGGAGAGTTCCCAATTAAAGGGATCTTGGAGTGAATCAATTTTGTAAAATAGGTTGTCAATCACTCTAATTTATTTGTTAAAAGATGGATTTTCCTATTTTGTATCTTCTTGAAAATGGCATCTGTAAAAAAAAAAAAAAAAATCAGATCACATACCCAACATATGGGCCAAAAAGAAAACTTTATAGTTTAGTGAAAAAGGGGTGGGGGGAGGGCATCGAGGGGGACTATCACTTTGATTTGTGCTTAAGGCAGTATATAAGACCAACTGTTGAAAAGTCAACAGTTTCAATTCTCCCAGTCATTAATGGCTATAAATCCTGGGTGTTGAAATACAAATAGGACATGAATGCCCCATCCAGAGTAGCAAGACCTTTCCCACCACCCTTCAGGATTGATATGTCTTTTATCCTGGAACAGGCAATTCTGGGCAATAACTTGAATGGTTGCTTCTATTTTTCCCAAGGGTGGGTGGGGAGTGTGGGATAAAAAGCATCGACATACAAAGAAAGTAAAGTTGGGTAAATGACCCATCTAACATAAGAGTCTTATAAAGATTTCTGTGAAGCTAAATACGGATTAATTAACTTAGAGGAAGCCTAAATAAATTTCCTTAACTGTACCCTCAGTTTTTGAGATATAAGATGCCAGTGGTGCAGATCATGCCTTCTGGATATTTTGTTCAAAGTCTAAAATAGTATGTTTTGCAATTAAAAACATTGATCAAAAAGTATTCATGCATCGCTCCAAGACAAAGTCTGGGCTAATGTTACTTTTTTCCCTCCCACAAAAGAACACTTACAAGTTATTCTTCCCAATTAAACTTTTTCTTTATTAAATCTACTCAGAAAAGTAGTTTTAAACAGAACCAAAATTACCCTAAACCCATCAATCATTTACTCTTCTCATGATGTTGAAAAGTATTTAAAAAAAAAAAAAGTTAGCATAGCCTTTTATTTATGCAACTTGTATCTCCTCTCACAAGATATTTTTACCAGCCACCCTGGAATCTGATTAATGAATTCACTGACAAATACAGTCATCAAAATGATTTGGGCTTTTGTCCCAATAGTACATTTCTTCCCATGAGCCAATGCTACTGAATCCTCAATTTTGTGGCACCGGAGCGCTGGAAAAGGACACACTTAAGAGATTTGGGGTAGGAAAAGAAACCTCATAAAGATTTAACAAGCCCATCTTAAAATACTCTTAAGAGCCAAGTCATGCAGAATGGCATTCCAAGGGCAAAGTTGAGATGGGGCAACAGTTCCTGAAGCCTTCACTGTATGATCGATGGAGATCCTCCGAGAATGAAAGCCAGAAAGGCCCAAGTAGTAACGACACCACAGATTCTGCAAGGAAATGATGGAAGGTAGATGGCCGTCAAACCAAGGATCACTTGGCTTTTGGGGCTACACTCGAGTTTGGCCGAGTATTTTTCTCTCATCACTTCTAGAGTCTTGTTCATCTAGAAGGGAAATCTTTACTACCCAAGGTCCAGTGCTATCACACTAAACTCATACATATACACATCCCTAAGATGGTGCCTTTGTGTTCCTAGTAAATTTAATTTTCCTAGTAAATTTACAGAGGCTCATAGAAATTAAAAATTAATTTCTTTGGCATCCAAGGGGGCAATTTTAATATAAGCATATATGTAAAAGTTTTATTCAGATGCCATGATCCTCATGTAGCACTTACATAGCTCAAAGACATATAATTAGCTGTTCCCTTGCATTATAAATCATCTAGTGAACATGCCATGATTCAACAAACTGATACCTTCTGTCTGCAAGTGGAGAATGCCACCAAAATGACCCTTTATGACCCTGGCCACTTACTGTAGTATGCAGTTGATATTAGGTGAATGCCTCCAGTATCGGTACAGGGTCACTTGCAAGTCAGGGTGATACCTGTATTCTTGCAACACAATCCTGACACTTGAGAGAGGGGAAAAAAGGCATTTCCTCAGTCAGTTAGTGGTTGGCAATGCACTACACAAGTAAAGAGATAATACTGTACGCATTAGGCTAGAAGCAGGTGAAGCAAGGAAAAGATGCTATTTCAAGGAAGGGGAAAATGAACCCATGAGCCACCTACTCCTTGAACTTGTTGGTCATAAGTAGAAACTGGTTGCAGGTGAATCGTCGGACATCAAATTTGCAGAGGTCCTTGAATTCATAATAGACTTGTTCTTCATCTACCCCAGGCCACCTCTTGACTTTGAGGATAAGGGTGGGTGGCCGGTTGCTGGGGGAATCTGGACCAGAGAAATTCTGGAAAACATTATATATGGACTATCAACACACTGTCCACAGCTTTGAATTTCAAATCTGATATTGCTATTATCTCTACAAACTCAGAGACTATAAACTACATTTAGTCACTACTTTTCATTTTGAAGATCCTTAGACCACCACCAGTTTGCAGGTCTCACAACTAAAAGGTCATAGGATCATGGACTTAGAGCTGGAGAGAAATAGTGAGGTCATTTGGTTCAACTAGTTCACGTCAAAAATGGGGAGATTCAGGGCAAGACAAGTTAAGTGATTTGCCCAGGGTCACCCAGCTAAAAAATGGCAGAGCCAGGATGGACTGGGCCTTAAGAAAATAGACATATATTATACGCTTGAGAAAACTTTAAGAAAACTAGACCCAACAACAAATAATGTAAGCTTGGTTTTTACAGATTTGTCAGGACACAATACACAAGCTGTCGCTCTCCTTTCTACCATCAGTTTTGGTCTCTGAGTAGGTATGGAGAGGCAGTTTGATGAAAATGACAAGCATTTGTTAAGTGCCTGAAAATCTAATCACTGCCCTCAAGAAGCTTATAATCAGCTGGAGGAAAACATGTGCACAGATAGTAAGTAAATATAAAGTACATACAGTAAACACAAGATGCTCAGACCTCAACGGTTTAGGACAATCAAGATGGAGACTAAGGAGTTAGGGACCATACTCAAGTCTGCACAAGTAACTTACCAAAGGGCCGTTCCTGCTCTCTGGCCCTAAGGGAACACCATCCCACCCAGCTTACACAGAGTGAGCTGCAGTGGGCCTACATCCAGGACTGCCCTTATGCTGAAGACAGGGAGAAGCCGCTGGGATCCCTATGCCCAGCACCCCACCCCTTCTCCAGCCCCAACCACCACCAAGCGACTTCCCACTTGGGGCCCCCCAAAGAAAGTAAAGGACTGACACACACAACTACTCACAATTTTAGAGATACATGCTCGGATAAGGTTCACCTGGTTCACATAGGGAGCCAGAACATCAAGATACTGAGGGAACGTGGGCTCCATTCTTATGCCACTGTTAGGAGGGGAAGAGAAAGCCCCCAATCAGTTCTGATACACATATTTAATCACAGTATCCTCTGCATTGGATAAAGACTACAACCTAGGGTCACAGATGAAGAGCTGGGCACATCTTTAGAGATCTCCTCATTTAGCAGAGGCCCAGAGAGATTAACAAATTTGCTTGAGGTCACATCAATAATAAGTAGCTGAGCCAGGATTCGAAGCCAGGTCCCATGACTCCACACCCAGGACTCTTCATTCCAACACACTGCCTCCCACGTCGGGATGGGCGGGGTCTTTAGGAAAGGCTGCTCTATCCATTTCTAGGAACTCCCTCCTCATATTTAACCTTGCTTGCCTTCTTTTTTCTCCTCAGTAAAATAAGGCCACTATTATTCATGGTACTTACTTCACAGGGGTATATTATGAAGAGATTAAAAACTTTTGGAAATCATTAAGTTCCTTCAAGAGAGCACAAATGCTACCTTCTACCTAAGCAAGACCTCTCCTGGTCCCACCAGCAGCTAATGCCTTCCCCTCTGAAGCTATCTTCCACTCCTCCTGTGTGGATCTTCAATGTCCTCGTTTTATTTACATAATATGTTGAAAGCTTCTCCCTGAGGGCAGAGATTATTGTTGCTTTTTCTTTGTATCCCCAACAATTAGCACAGTACCTAGCACATCATAAGCACTTGTGCTGACTGACTGAAAACACTTCCCAATTACAAAAGGCTAAATAAATCTAAGTTTTTAATATCATTTATCATGGTCTAGGTTGTATCAAATAATAAAATTTGTAAAAATTTTATCACCTCCACTAAAGCCCACCTTTGATACTTCACTGTAGCATGGGGGTGACCCTCAAGGTTATTCTGGCTCCAGTTGGCCCTATCAAGTACAGGCCCAGTCTGAAACCAGTCAAGCTAAGTTCTGAGAGTCTCATCACTAAGTATGCCCTCAGTGATAAATATTTGGGCCAACACAACTCATTGACTCAAAGAAGGATCTGTGTTAGTGGAAGAAGTACCCAGACCAACAAAGTCACAGGTCTTTGAAATACTCATCAACTCCAGAGGACCATTTCTACTCCCCTAGCTCCATACTACCAGCAATGGCTCTCTTGACCTGAGACCTGTCTTCTTAGGACAAGGGCCACTGAGGCTCAGAAAAGGAACAGAGGATAAGGGTTAGATAAGAGCAGTAAGGAGTTAGAGCTTTGGAGTCAAGAATAAAAACAAGGGTTAGAGCAGATTATGTCTGCATAATGTCAGCAACTTTATGTCCCTCCCACCCATTGTCTACATTGGACTGGATTAGACTGAGCAGTAGTAGCCAGCAGAAGGGTCTGTAAGCAGGAGGAAAGAAAAGGAGAGCAATCCTTGGTAGCAGTATTGTGAGGAAAGGAGGGGAGTTCTCAGGTTTTGTCCAACCAAAGTGGTCCTATGAGAAAGAAAAGCACATTAGTCAGAACCTGCCAAGTCAGGGGTTTCCCATACTTGTGATGACTCTGTCCTCATTATTCCCCCACAACCAAGATCATGCTGGGTACATAGTAAATGTTCAGAAAGTACTTGTTGATCAACTATTAAAAGTACAAGATGAAAAGAAATACTCACCCAGTTGTTCTATATAGTAGTAAATGTGCCACCTTCAAGAGAACTGGGAGGAAAGAAAATTTGAAAAATAATTGACTCGTTGGCTCAAGTCTCTCCTTTCTCCAATTTATCCTCCACCCAAATGCCAAAGTGATGTTCCTGAAATGCAGATCTAATGATGTCACTCCCTATTCAATAAACTCCAGTGGCTCCCAATAGACTCCAGGATCAAATACAAATTCCTGTTTGGTATTTAAAGCCCTTCTCCACGTGGACCTAACTGACCTCCCCAGCCTTCATACATCACTCCCTTTCCCAAAATCCATGGTCCAGACAGACTAGCCTTCTTGTAATTCCTCACACAGGACAATCGTGTCCCAACTCTGTGCCTTTGTACTGGCCACGCCCCATGCCTGAAAATTCTCCTTTTCCTTCAAATCTCAGCAGAAGTACTACTTTCTACATGAAGTCTGTCTTGACCACACCCCTAAATTGCCTTCTATTTATTTTATATAAAATGTATTTATACATTTTCTCCACCAGTAGAATGTAAGTGTCTTGAGGGCAGAGATTGGACTCGGAATTTCCAATATCTAGCACAGTGCCTCTCGCAGAGCAGGCATCTAATATTTATTAACTGACTCCAAGTTTCATTTTTGTTCCCCATCAGTTTCAGAGTGCTATCACATTATGTTTCTCATCACTGTGGAAAGTGAAAAGTCCCACGAATGTAAATATAAATGTTTTTCCTCATGGTTCCACCATCCTCCCAGTCATTCAAGTTCAAAACCTATCAAGTTTTCATTGACTTCCATGTATTCTCCATCCCCAACTCCAATCAACTGTCAGGTCTTTTATTCTAATTCCACACTATATCTTGTTTCTATTCACTCCTTTTTATGCCCATATTATCATCCTCATTAGGGATCTGGTTGCTTCTGCCCAGGACTATTATTTTTTGTTTTGGATTTTTTTTTTTTAAATGAGGCCGAGTCTCCCTATCTTGCTCAGGCTTTAACCTTACTGCAGCTCAGAATTCACAAAAAAGCAATCCACCAACCTCAGTCTCCTCACAAGACAATGCTGCCACCCCCAGCTTTCCCTGGCCTATTTTTCTAGACTCTTCACTGGCCTCCCTGCCTCTGGTCTCTCTCTTTTCTTTCATCATCCACCCCACACTCCCACCAGAATAATTTCCTGATGCAGGCTCTGAACATGTCACTCCCCTGTTCTAAAACCTCCCCTCAATGGGGCAGCTAGGTGGCGCAGTGGATAGAGCACCGGCCCTGGAATCAGGAGGACCTAACAGACACATAACACTCACTAGCTGTGTGACCCTGAACAAGTCACTTAACCCCATTGCCTAGCAAAAAAAAAAAAAACAAAAAAAAAACCCCAAACAAATAAAACCTCCCCTCAGTTTACCAAATCTTAGCTGGGATGCAAGGCCTCCATAATCTGGCTCCAAATTGCCTTTCCAGACTTATCTTGGACTCTTATCCTTCACATACTCCATAGTCTGCCAAGCCCACATGCTCCAAATAGACTCAATCTCTACAGCTATTAGTGATCTCTCCTTTCCAGAGTCTCTCAGACATTCCCTTCAGACCCCTCCTATGCACTTACCAACTCTAATGAGCCTTGTATTACTTGTACACCTCTCCCTCACACAGACACATGCACAAAGAGCAAGTTTATTGAGGGAAGGGTTGTGTCTTCTTTTACCTTCAGCTCCCTAACACAGTATCTTGCACACAGTAGGTATCTTATAACTATACGAATGGGAATTTTTAAAAAATTAAGTTCCTTTTTTTACCTGATCCACAAAGGAAGGCATCATAAGCTGCTTCATGAGGGTATTTGGTCTCAACTGAAACATTTTCCCCATAAGGTAGAAAAACAGAATTGAGCTATGATTAGAAATGAAACTTGGACCAGCAACTATCTACTCTTTATCCCAATCCAACCAACTTTCTATCTCCTTTGGCATTTAGGACTACGAATGCCTAGCCCATACCTGCCCTTCCCTAAAACCATGTCTAATGCTCCACCTTTTCTCCTCCTAATTTTCTCCTCCTGCCAAAGGAAGAAAAATTAAATGTAGGGGAAAGACAGTGGCAAAGGAAAGAGCTTCCCAAAAGGATAAAATAACTTATTGAACAAAACCGAGAGGACGTATCACAAGATCAATCACAACTTCCCCAGTACCTAGAACACTGTAGGTGCTTAATAATTGCTTCTTGAATCAAACTGAATCAAAGACAACTCAGGTGAGAAATGCCTAGTGAGAATGTGCCTATCTGTCCAACACTTGCTAGGGATAAGGCACATTTCAGGGAAACCTAGCTCCCTGGTCAGTAAGCCAGGAAGCAGGCCTCACTTTAATTGGAACATACCATATTTGATACATTCGCTTGCATGAATGATCACTGGACAAGAATTCTTGGTAGGATTCAGGTCACTATTGGAGAAAGAGCAAAAGGTCAGGTTTTTTTTCTTACTTGAAAATGCTCACTCTTTCACAACAGGGTGTGCACTCACACACCCTCTTTTCCCTTTAACTAAATTAAGACAATCTGAGTCCAAAATACTGTGACTCTTGAAGGGAGAGCTCATTCAAGGGACAGGACAAATAAGAGAACACTGGCAATGACCAAACCACACTGCTCTAAGGGACTTGTCGAATTCCTCTATCACCCCGAACTCTGATCTACGTCCCTGATCTACCTTCTGCCCCGGCCATGAACAGAAGTGCGAGGTATATCTGGATCATTAATCCCCAGGTGGTTGATAGAGACGTTAAAGGCAGATCAAGAAGCTTTACCCATTAAGTCTCTAAACCAGCTGCAGCTGTCATGCCTCTCCCATCCCCACCCTCAACCTGCTGAGCTTCTCAACAGGGAAGTGAACACAGCTGATGCCTCCCTTCTTTGAAAGGAGGGCTTTTCTGTCAGTCTGCAAACCCATACCAACTCAAGGCTGTGGTCAAAGATAAGACAACTCTGCTTCCTAAAAAAGGTTGGGTCTTCACAAAAGCACATTTGACCAGCATCAAAGACATCTTGCTTGCCTGTTTAGGACTTCATAAACCTCCAAAAGATTAGAAGCTCTCGGGAAACTTAGTTCCTGTGAGGGAGGAAAAAAAAAACCAAAAACAAAACTGGGACATGAGAGATGAGGTCAGCTAGGATTTTATACCTTCACCTTAAATACACCCCAAAGGACTCGTAAAATAGCCCTTTGGTGCCCTCCAATGTCGTCCAACAGCATAACCATCCCTGTTCCTCCAATCAAGACTGAATGACTATGCAGTCTCTTTGGGGGTCAGAAAGTAACTCCAATATTGCTGACACACCTCTTTGACAGGAGTACCAAGTGTACCAGTGTACCAAGGTGGTGACCTGAGCCTCAAGTTAGAGGCCCAGGAAACACCTTAAGATTTCCAGGTCTCAAAAGGCCCAGATAACCTCAGAGCCATGAAGGGAATTTTTGGTTCTGAAGCTTCTAAAGAGTCAAGTTTCATCTTGCATTGTCATCCCTACTGCCATCACTAAAACTGACATTTACACAACCCTCTAAGGTTTTGCAAAGTGCTTTACATATATTGCTTCATGTGGCCATCTAGGTCCTCACGTGCAGCCCTTTGACTGAATCCAAATTTCACAGAACAAATCCCTCCCCAACCCTGGATTTGAGAAAGTCCCTGCGCTGATGATCTCAATAAACAAAACAGGTAGGGAAAAACACTGAAGTTTCCATAAAAGACAGAATTGATTTTGTCACCATTCATAATCTTGCACAGGGCAAAACAGCAACAAGTACTAGAGCCTGAACTCTAAAAACTTTATTAGGAAACTGAAGGCAGAAGAAAGATGTACATTGAAACTAACAAAATGCAATTTGTTTATTTACCTTCCAAATCTGTTTTGTCACATTCTTGGTATCTATGAGGACAGGAAACAAGCCATGGATGTTCAGCTTAAACTGCTCATAGGATTCTGAGGAGAGACTCAATCAATCAGCATTTGTTAAGTATTTTATTGTGTGCCTGGCATTGTGTCTGGGGGTGTGAATATAAGACAAGAGCGAAATCTTTGTCCTCAAGAAGGTTAGTTTAGCCAGGGGAGACAAGATAGACATAAGGTGTCTCCAAAACTATTAAAGCTTAAAATTGTACTAAGCCTATGGAAACCCTCTATACTTGGGTAAGGTACTGTCTCCCTTTGTGGTTCTACCCTTTCATATGAAGCAAAGCAGTCTACTTTGCTCAGAGTTCTAAGGGAAAAAGTTACTCTGATTCAGAACTCAAATAACTGATCATTTTGGAATGGAACAAACTGTAGAATATACTGGAGAAGAAATGGGCTGTTTTTTCTGATTATAAAACAAATGTAATTTATTGGATTTTAGACTGAAGATGAGACTTTGGTCACTAATTATAAACTAAGAAGGTATCAAATGAAGAGAGGATGCTGACTCTCATTTCAAAAAGAGAGAGGTGAAAGGGCTGATTTTTAAGAACTTTATCAGCTAAGCTTGAAGCTGGAAGTGACATACAATGAGTTTGGCTGAGGTTCGGTGCCCAGTGAGGAAAGAAGCTTAATAAATAAAAGGCTAAAGCTACCTTCCTAGTGGAGGAGGGTAAAAGGCAGAATGGTGGATATCTTTTGTTCCAAGAAGACAACAAGTGATGAATCACAATAAGCAGCACCTGTTTGACTCCAAGGTCCTCTAGATATTGATGAGGAACATGTATCTGTGGAGGTGGGCAGGTGGCCAGGCAAGAGGGTATATTCTCCCAGTCCCTATAATCCCCTAAAGACTAAAAAATTGTGAGCTTTCTCGGGTCAAGCTCCCTCTCCAAAGCCCCAGGTCAGGTTTTGCTGGGATGGAAAAGGGGCAAGGACATCTCTTTCCCTACCTGGGAGAGGTCTGTAGAACTTTTCATGAAGGTGCAGAAGATCCATCATCATGTTATGTCCCACCAAAGGCTAAAAAGAATAGGGCCAAGAGACATATAAGAAATGAATCAAAGTCACCAAATGCCATCAGTATTTTCCTGCTATTCTGCTTTTTTTTTTTTCTATTCTGGTTTTTTTTTTTTTTTTTGCTTTTTGGTGAGGCAATCAGGATTAAGTGACTTGCCCAGAGTCACACAGCTAATAAGTGTCAAGTCTTTGGTCTGAGACCAGATTTGAACTCAGGTCCTCCTGACTCCAAGGCCGGAGCTCTATCCACTGGACCACCTAGCTGCCCCATCAGTATTTTCTTACAAACAAGTCGGTGTTATCAGTAGCTACAGGTAACCTTTTCAACCTCTTCCCACATCATTCTCTCTTTTCCTTTTAAGAAAAGGGGCTCTTAACAGCCCAAATACCAGGGAGGATCAGGTACTCAACAAGCAATTTTTTAGCACCTGTTATATGCCAGGTGCTCTGCTAAGTTGCCTGGAAAACAAAGACAAAAAGGAAATGGGCCATGTTCTTGAGGAATATTAATAAAAAAATTTTGAAAAAAAAGAGAAGGGAGGGGCAGCTAGGTGGCATAGTGGATAGAGCACCAGCCCTGAAGTCAGGAGGACCTGAGCGCAAATCCAGCCTCAGACCAAACACTTGACACTTACTAGCTATGTGACCCTGGGCAAGTCACTTAACCCCATTGCCTTGCCAAAAAAAAAAAAAAGAGAGAGAGAGAGAGAGAGAAGGGAAGAAAGGAGTACGAAGAACTCAAGGTAAGGTAAGCTTCAGGAATTTCTTAACCATAAAATCAATCACAAGATGCAGGAGAGATAGCGTGCTTTGCTAATAAAAACTACTATTTAATTTAAAATGCAGTACACCAGCACTCTGCTTCAAAACAAACACAAAGCTTCATAACCCAAGAAACAAGGCAACGCTTTACTTAGGGGTAGTCTTTTTCTAAAGTCATCTATCATCACGTGGGTAAAAGTAATAATGGCCAGAAGCCCAGCAAGAGACAACAAGGCAGAACTCTGCGGACCAGTCTGGCTTAGCTAAGAGACACCTCATCAATGAAAAAGTGGCCACAAGGAAATTAATTTTTTTAGCCACAGCAACTTGTGAATATTGCTTAATATGTAATAATAAATAATTGGTTAATTAAATGGGAAGATTGCAATCTGCATTAGAGAGTGGAGACCTCACACGGATGAAATCAACAGTTACTAAAGTAACAGATACTAATGACGATGATGATGATGATGGCTGACATTTATGTAGTATTTTAAGGTGTGTTACATGTGTTATAATATGATTTCATTCAATCTTCATAACAACCCCGTGATGAAGGGAGGGGCTATTATCATCACCACTTCACAGATGGGGAAACCGAGACTTGCCCAGGATCACACAGCAAGTGTCCAAAGAAGGATTCTAACTTGCATCTTCCTGACAGAGTCCACTCTATCCACTGTACCTCCCAGCTGCCCAAAGTAAAATAATGACAGGAACAGGGAGCTAGCTCCCATGGCTAGAGGAATCACTGGCCATGGCCATAAACCTCAACACTGTCAAAAAGCATGCAATACAAATGTGGATCTCTACCTTCTTGGCTTTTACCAGCATCTGGAAAAAAACAGCAAAGCCCCGGGCAGAGAGGAGAATTTTCTCCCTCCTGCAGTCATCATGGTCACGAGAGGAGTTCTCTAGACACCAGCGATATTGCCTGCTCACTTTCTTTACTAGTATCTGCCAGGAGAGATTGAGGACAAGTTATCCTGGCCTTAGACCTGGGGTAAGGGAAAAGAACTCTCCAACATAAGGAAGAAGGATGTAGGGAAGGGGAAAGAAGGAAACCGAGGGCAGGCTGTAATAATCTGGCAGCTAAGTCCAGCCTCCCCAAAACCATCTTTTTTCCAGACTTCCACTGAGGAAACCTGGCATCTGGCCCATGGAGATGGACCTTTCACAGAGCACAAATTTAAATTAGGTTTGGCTGGGTGACAAAGACTGATAAATTAAGAGGCTACCAAGGACTCCTCTAAAGCAAGGCAGAAAACATCCTTTAGTCTAAAAGCACAGAATTCCTAACTCACCCCTTTGTCTTTCATCAGGGTCCAAACTGTGGGGAGAGCCTGCCTCAGTACTAACTGTACCTCAAAAGCCTGGAACCCTGAAGCAAAGAAGGGGAAGCAAGACTGAAAACAAAGACTGAAATTCACAGGTCACATATTCAGATTTGAAAAAAACATTCCACTCTCCCTCCTAAATCTACAACCTTGAGGCAGTTAGACCACAGGAGGAACAAATGGAAAACTATCTCCATATACCCATGAGACATGTTATGGTCAAAGACATGTTTAATACAACCCAGAGTCAGAATTATCTTCCATTCACCTTACATGAGAGAAGTTTAGGCAAAGAGGGAATGCAAGAGGAAAAACAGAATCAATCAATATGAAAACTACTTGGGATTACCCTTAGGGAGAGGTCCCTGAATGCCCATGCATTTATGAATCCCTACGCATTTATGAATCCCCAATCCAGAATGAATCTATTCGCAAGACAGAGGTCACACTTCTACACAGCATGACCCTAAGTTCCCCAAAGAGAAGGGACCAGCATCAGAAGTCCTACCTAAGACCCATGCCTCCCCAACAGGCAGGATCTCAAGAATAAGGAAAAATCCTTGTTTTTTTTTTTTAATCTGGCTAGCAGTTTTATGGGTGGGTGCCATGGACGTGGCCAAGTACCCCTTTCACATTCGCCTATCCACAAAAAGAAGTTTCCTTGCCTACCAGTTATATCAGGAAGTGTCATCCAGTCTCCTTCTTGTGCCATCTCCAACCACCGAGTTACCTCATCAATCACCACCTTCATTTGGTCTTTGTCCAATGTACTATAAATGAAATTCCAAGAAGAAAAGGAGATGAAAATACAACCAAATAAAATGAGATGATTCCAAATAAACCTGACAACCAAACAAAATGAGATGACTTCAAAACTAAGTTACTGTTTCCTGTGTCTCAAGTTCTAGCATGATGATTTAATGGAGAAAATGGGCCACCAAAAAGAGATTACCACTCTTGCTATATAAGTAATAAAAATAATTTTTTTAAAAGATCTATATTTCTCTTTTTAAGAGAGATAAGTTTCCCGATCCCCTCCCTGCCTCACAAGGACATTAGGAGGAAAAAAAATTGTGTTTTCTTCAATGCTAAGTATCCTTATTACTATAGTTCCAAAGGAAAAGAATCATATCATTAAAAAAAAAAAAGCTAGCAACAGAGACCCTGATAAATATAGGCTCATCTATGTCAAAAATACTACCATCTCTTCTCCAACCCTGGTAGGAACAGCCTAGGACCCTGCCCAAAAGGGTCTAGGAATACCAGCACTCTATCCCCTCACCCATCAAGCACCAGCCCTGCTTCCAACCCAGGCTCACAGCCAATATCTAAGAGAATAATCCTATGTAGAGATGTGACCTGGCACCTGCCTCGGCAGATGCTACAAACCCTACCTCCTCAACAACTACAGTTACTGAAAATCCAAAAAGTCCTTGGCATTGACAAACAAACAGTTCAACATCAGAAAGAAATATAGGATTACCAATGGAAATAACACTAAAAAGGATGGATGACCATCTGTTTTGCTCTACACCCTAACGACCTTTCTCTGGGCCCTGCAACTGAACCCTCCTATATGTGCTGTCTGTCACTATTAGATATAAACTCCTTCAGAGCAGAGACTATCTTGCTTTTCTACACGTGAGCCAAGTGCTTTTTGTACACAGAAAGTGCTTATATTAAATGCCTTTTTATTTATCCCTTCATTTGGGTAAAAAAAAAAATGGAATTGCTATTTGGGAAATAAGGGCAACCATTAGCCTCTGATGTTTAAAAAAGGAGGAAAAGGTTGAAATTTCAGGCTTTTTCCCTAAGAAGGAATGCTTTTTAATTAGGGAAATAAAAACAAGTAGAATTTTGGGGAAAACCTCAACACTCATGAAGATAGCTGGATGGATTTCAATGCTCCTTCTGGTTTTCTGATTCTATGAAACTTGTATCACACATGGACTACTTTCACCAATAGCTAACAGCTAACATTTGCTCTCCCAAATGCTAATGAATACTTCTCTGGCACATCAGTACCAAATATATAACTACAAAAGTTGAGCTTGTACATACTTTTAGAGAAGGCTGTATAAACTAAGGAGAAAAGACTTTACCTACGAACTTTCCAATTCCCTGTTAAAAGGTCTTGCTTAATTTTCTTCTCCTGTTCTTCATTCATATATGGGATCCCATTTTTGAGAAACTAAATAGAAAAAAAATGCAGTCATCATCCGACGTGCCAGGCACCATAAAGCTAAAAGGAAATTTTGGTTTGAAGGGTGTGAATAAGAGACAGGGAAAGGCCTTAGCTCTTCTTCCTTATAAATAAGTCCTTTCGAGATTGTACTCTCCCCACCTACTGCACTGGCGAAAGTTGAGCAAAGGAAAAAAAAAACCAACAAACAACATACCTTATTATAATCGAAACCATATTGATTCAAAAATAGAATACTAGAGGCCTGGAAGGAGAACTCTGAATCCATAATCCCAAGTGTGGTAGGGAAGAGGAAGAAGTTATATGAATGGGCTATATACCTATTTAAAAAAAAAAAGAAAAGAAACACAGAGTAAAATTTTTTTTTTAAATATTGGACACTTGCAGTATCTTTCAGTTTCCTGCACTCAAATGTGATTCGTACCAAAATAAAATAAAACAAATAAAAGATCAAGGTCCATGGTCTAGCAAAATGCCTCATACATAATAGAAGTAGATACTTAAAGATTTAGGAGGGTACAGGTTGGTTATGTTTTATGTGATAGCTTTTTTTCTTTTTTATTTCTTAACAATTTTTATGGGGGCAGACCTGTCATTTCATTGGGACAAGGAGCTCTCAATGAGGAAACCCTTTCCACCCAAGCAACTTTGCACCTCCCACCTCCTCTGAACTTACCAAGCATTTCCTGGGATATCAAGATGGTAAGTGAAATTTCAATTTAAGTGAAATTACCCAGGGCCACAAAGCCAATATTTGTCAGACTCTGCAGTCAGTTCTCAATCCACTATATCATACTGCCTCTTGCTACTTCTTTTTTTTTTTTTTTACACTGTTGAGATTTCCCAGTCCCACCTCTGAAAAAGAACCCTCTTTTTTTCTGACAGAAAAGTTTAGTTCATCAAAACAAACCAAAATACCAATATCTTAAAGAATACGCTGCATTCTACATCTGCTGTACATGAGGTATACCTCATCCACAGTTGTTGAATTTTATTGAAAAAAGTCTTCATACTTACTTGTTTGACTTTCTTCCCATACTTGAAAACATTGACAATCCTAAAAGAATGAAAAAAGAGTTGGGGGGGGGGGGGAGAAGGATGAGGTTATAATGAACTTTAGTTATATTCCCATCCCTTCAAACCACAAATTAAGAGCCATTTTTTTTTTTGGTAATACTCTGTGTATCCACACTTCCAAGAAAAGAAAACATACAGTTCCTAAACGTGATCTTGCTATTATATATAGGGGCAACTGCTACAGGTTGTTCTCTACCTGCTTCTGAGTAAAAACTTGTTAATTAAGTATCTGAAGACAAAAGTATGTCTTCTCTTAGGCAGAGAAATGAATATTGAAGACAGAGGCTTCACAAGTAAATGAACAAGAGATGTGAAAGAATCAGGAATAGGTCAGGCTTCAATATCTCTACGGGAATGTTTGGGGACAAAAAAGGAGACAGGCAGATTAACAATAGTTTTAGGACAGAACATATCCCGATGATCTGATCAAGAAGAAGCTGTTCCATATTGCTAGACTTCACACTTCTGAGGTTGAATGTTTCTTGTTTAAAAATTAAAATTGCGTCAATAGAAGAGATCAATTGTACAAAGCTTACAATAGAGAAAATTTTGCCTCTCGCTAGACTTGAAGACACTTCATCCCCCCACTGGGCATTTTCACTGGCTGTCTCCATTGTCTGGAATTCTCTCTCTTCATCTCTGCCCCCTGGCTTCCCTGAAGTCTCAGCCAAAATCTCAACTCTGGTCTTGCTCCCATTTAAAGCTCATACCTTCTCTGTGAGATTACCACCCGTCTACCTTGGATATACCTGTGTAATTGTTTGCATATTCTATTTTCTCTACTAAATTGCAAGTTCTTTGAACATAGCATAGCCCTTCTTTGTATTCCCAGCATTTGGCACAGTGCCCATCATTAAACATTATTTTAAATACTTTTCCAGATTTATCAAAGGATGGCAAACAACTTGAAAGGATTAATTTCATAGCATAAACAACATGATGATCAATAGGTCCTCCTTTAAACAAATGTATGTCAAAGTGAAACTAATGCTTCCGCTTACATAAAGATTATTCCAAGAAATGGGTCAATTCAGGGAAGGAAGCCCTAATCTAGGGAACGATGAATAAGTAACATGACACCAAAAATCATCACCAGTTCAAGCGAACAAAAAAAACCTACAGGATAAACCAACTTTGCAACACTCCCAAGTGCTCCTAAAGATAATAGGATCACAGATTTAAAACTGTATCAGTCTGTTTTACAGAAACTATTTGCTCAGGGTGACACAGGAATTAAGTAGCAAAACAAGGTTTCAAACCTAGTATTCAAACCTCTCTCCACTAAATTTAACCACCTCCCATATATCTAACAGCTTAGAACAGCAGGGAAGGATGCCACCATCTTTAACCAGTAAACTCACCAATCTGACACACTGTAAACTGCTGAATGCTCTTCTTAGTTTTCAGATACCACTCTGCTGGTGAGTCAAAGAGACTGTTAAAAGAGAACAGGTATTTTACAAATACTGACAAAATGTCTCCAAATAAGATGCTTTCATTTTCATTATTAAGAGAGGTATTGGGTAGCAGAAAGAGCATAGAAGTTGAGTCAGAAGACCCAAGTCTAAGTTTTGGTTCCAATATTCATTAGATCTACAATAATGAAATTTTTTAATGTTGCTGAGCTTCAGTTTCCTTTTCAATAAAATTATATTTTCTCTATATACTTCCTAGGGTTATGGAAAAAAAAATCTTAGGAGCTTTACAAGAAAACCTTAAGAATTTTACTTTAAGAAAACCTCGTAAACCTTAAAGCACTATGTGACTATGAGCTGTTATTATAATTATTAGCACTAATCCCTGTAAATTCCAGAGGACCACTTTATAGAAAGAATGTCTGTTCAAATATAGATTCCACTTTACTAGATGAAGTCTCCTCTCTGAGTGGAAGATGATAATAAACATTTATATAGCATCCCTTATGTGCCAGGCACTGTGCTAAACACTTTACAAATTTCTCATCTGATCCTCACAACAACCCTTCCAGATAGATACTGTTACTAATTTTACAGTTAAGGAAACTGAGGCAAACAGACGTTCAATAACTTGCCAGGGGTCACGCAGTTAAAGGGGTGAGACCGAATTTCAAATTAGGTCTTCTTTTTTTTTTGTCTAGGCAATGAGGTTAAGTGACTTGCCCAGGGCCACACAGCTAGTAAGTGTTATGTGTCTGAGGTTGGATTTGAACACGGGTCCTACTGAATTCAGGGCTGGTGCTCTATCCACTGTGCCACCTAGCTGCCCCTAAACTCAGGTCTTCTTGACTGCACACCCAGTGCTCTACCTATTATGCCACCCTGTATGACTCAAATTAAGTCCCAGCAGAATTCTACATAAACTGATGATAGAAGTTTTTCCCACTTTACCTTGTTTGCTGGCCTTTTGGAAAGATGGACCTCAAGCCTGTAAATTCTATGTCCAAACCTACAGGTGAAATTCATAAAATGAAAGAGAATCCATTTGTGAACATCAGGATCACATTACTCACCAGTCAGTACTTAGGGAGCACTCAGCATGCAGGATGCTGTAAGACTAATGCAAAACAAATGACTTCATGTGTATAATGGGCATTGTATTTCTTGCCTTTACAATGGATGGTAGAGGGAGAGAGAGAATTTGGCACTAAAAAATAAATTAATTTTTAAAAAAGATTAATGCAAAACAATATACATTTCACAGATTGTCCTAGTTCAAGGGAGCAAAAATGGATCTGTGATCTCAACAATTTGTATGTTTCCTCTAACAAAGCTAGCTCTTCTCTGATTCTTGTCTATATTCTTCCATAGATTTGCCACTGGGTGAAAAATGTCTCTTGCCCAAATTCTGACATAACTGGAGGGGTAACCTAGGAAGTTTGTCCACCAGTACACACACAGATCTGGGGAAAACTGGACCAATGGGCACGTGGGACTCTGAATTAAGCAGCAGGAGGAGAGTGTCCTGGGCTGCTTTCAGGATCCTGCAAAGCTTAGGCACTCAGAAAGCCAGGAAAGGGGAAACAGGAAGCCTAGGAAATAGCCAAAGAAAAGAACATCCCAATTGGCCTGACCCCTCCATCCCCCTCTTCCTGAGGCTCAGGACTCCCAGGGCTGGGCCTCCAAGGGGCTCAAAATTCAGCTCCCTGTTAAGGGCAGACACTCTGCAGCCTGCAGAGAAGCCTTGAACCCAGGGAAGAAGCCCACCGCACACAAGTGAGTTCTGATCCTGCCCCACCCGCCCCACTTCTGTCCCCGGGGCTGCCCAGGCCCGGAGGGGCCCAGCCGGGATCCTAAGCCCGCTCCCCGGCCCCTCCAGCTCGGCGCTCCCAGACAGCAGCCTGCAGCCCGGGAGAGGCCGCCTCGACGCCACGCGCGCCCGCCCTTCGCCCCCTTCCGACCTTCCCGGCGGCCCGAGAAGGAGACGAGAGCCCCGGCGCGGGGGCTTCTTTACCCAGAAAGTCGGAGCCCAGAACGAGCTCCTCCAGCAAGGGCAGCTTCTGCTCAAAGCGGTCGGCGCCCAACTCCATGGCCGACCACGTGCGCACTGAGGCCTGCCGGGGGCCTCTTCCTGCGGCCCGCCCCCGGGGCGATCCCGGAGACCGCCGGCTTCTTAAAGGGGAAGCGCCCCGCCCTCACCCCAGGCCCGGCCAGGGCCCCTTCCCGCCGAGCTGCACGAGGGCACGTGGGGCGATGGAAGAGGGGGAGGGGAGGGGGAGACTGGAAGACTGAAGGAGGGGGGAGGGGGGGAAGAGAGAAAGAAGGGAGAGGGGAGGAGGAAGAGGATAAGAAGAAGGAGGAGAAGGAGAGAGAAAGGAGGGGGAGATTGAAGGAGGGGGAAGGGGGAAGAGGGAAAGAAGGAAGAGGGGAGGAGAAAGAGGAAAGGG